GGAGGACGCGCCCACGAGCCAAGAAAACCTGGCCCCGGGGGCGCCCATCCCGCTCCCGCTTTACCTGCTGCGCCTTCCGCTCCGGGTGGTCCTCGCGACGGGCCGGGAATATCTCAGGGCCGAAGCGGAGCAGCGAAGAAGGCCCTCGGACACCCAAGCCCCCTCCCGCGGCTCTCGGCTCCGGCAGCGGCTTTAATGGTTTTTTTCCCTGTTGGAGGAGAAACTCCGCTCTTTGACGCTCCCCGCGCTCGGGGACGCCTAGCGGCCGAGGGCGGTCATGACCTCTCCGAAAGAGAAAAAGAAAAAGAGGGAGGCCGGGAGGGAAGGAGGGAGGGATGGAGGCGGGAAAGCAAGCGAGAAGGAGTCCTGGGTCTCAGGGAAAGGGTTTGTACGGTCGAGCAGACTTTTTAAAAAGGGGTTTGCCCGCCGGCATGCCAGACACCCACGAATGATATCTGGGGAAGGAAAGATGGCTCCTCCTCTTCTTCGGGTTTCTCCCTTCGGAAGGACTGGGCGCGTCGAGGAGGTGTGACCCGGTCTAGTAAGACAGAGTACATTCAGTAGGGTCAGATCAAGATGTGTTCCTGCTGGAGGCGGAACAGCTCATGGAGGCTCCTCGGACCTCAAAGTGCATCGTAGTTGAAGTGGTTTTGGCCCAAGAAGCAGATCTAGCTGGTGATAGAAAAGGCAATAAGAAAAAAATAATAATAAACCAGCTTTCCCCACCCCCACCCTTTTTATATACCTCCCCTCCACCAAAATGTACCGGTGAGTGACCACACTGTGCTAGCACTGTAAAGCTCTTCCTTATTTCAAGCCGCCAAGGGTGGGGGGGGGATTGCTTGGCTTGTGTTGATAAGTGAAAAAATCGCCCTGAAGGAGAATGTGAAAAAGGCCACGCCTTGTCTGTTCTCATTCATATATTATTAGCCAGGCCTGTGCGTACAGAACAAGTGGACCCTAGAGCAAATCAAGCCTGGGTGATCTCTGGAGGCAAGAATGTCCAAATCAAGCCTGGATGATCTCTGGAGGCAGGAATGTCGAAACTGAGCTTGTCCTATTTTGGGCACATCATGAGAAGACAAGATTCTCTGGAAAAGACAGTAACGCTAGGAAAGGTTGAAGGCTGCAGGAAAACAGGAAGCTCAAAGAGGAGATGGGTTGACTCCCTAAAGAAAACGTAAGGCTTGAGTTTAGGAGAACTGAGCCTGGCTGTTGAGGACAGGAGATTTTGGAGATTGCTCAGTCATGGGTTGCTATAAGTCGAGGGGGACTTGACAGCACATGGCAGAGACATTTATTTCCACCATAAACTAAAAGGAACATTATCCACTATAAACCAACATATTTTTCAGTAGTTCAGTGATTTTAAAAAAATAAAATCACTGTTAGTGTCATGTACAACTGTAAAATTAAGTACAGTAGTCTTCAATTTATGCTTGTCATTCTTAGTCTAAATTGGCTGATTTCTTGATTGAAGTCTCCATTTTAATTTATTATTGAACTAAGGTTTGAACACCTTTAACAATTTTGGTTTGTGTTTTTCATTTTAGACATTAAAGTTAAGTAATTTTTCTGTAGGTTTTTGTGTGTATGTAACAAAAACACACATGCGTGTGCGTACACACACATGCACAGGGCAGCACCAGCACACACTGTGCTCAGCAAAGCCTCTGTCCTAAGACTCTTGTTTTGTAAGAGGAACAGCCTGCAGTTCAATTTAAATTGAACAGACCTGCATTCCCTGGTGCAGCTTCAGAGTGAATGAATGCATATTTCTCTCACTGTGCAGTCTCACCCTTATTCTGTCTCAGCATGTTGGCAAAATGAATGGGGCAAGTGGGGGAAAGGAAAAGGGCAAGGAAAAAATATTGAAACACTTTAAAAAATGAATGAATTACACCGTGTGAGCTCCCATGGATCAAAGTCCAGTGTCTGAAGAAGTGGATTTTGATGCATGAAATCTCACACTGAAAAAAAAGTGTAAGTCTTTGAAGTGCCTATTAGACAATATTTTGTCCTTTTCTCTTTTTTTCCCCTCTAAAATCTTGCCAATATTTGTAATAAGAGTTAATAGAAAGTAAGATAGCTACCTAAAGGTCTTTCTGGAATTATACTTTAAGATATTTCTGGAATTATACTTATAATTTCTGGAATTATACTAACATGATGGCAGTAAAGTGGATAATGATGCAATATATCAATAAATGTTTCAGAAACAAAGGCAAGTTCAACCTGGAAAAAGATTCTGGTTCATCCAAACATCAGCCTCACCTTGGAACAATCTACACAACAGGTGCATTTCCTTTTCTGGGTCATGTGGGGCTGGGCCACAACAGCCCCACAATATGCAAACATATTCACAGTGGACCTAGAACAACACTTTCTTAACTATTTAGACAAAAAGCCACTCCTCTATTTAAGGTACATTGATGACATTTTTCTGATCTGGACCCATGGAAAGGAATCCCTACAAAAATCCCACCAGGATTTCAATAACTTTCACCCAAACATCAACCTCACCCTGAAACAATCTATGCAGCAGGTGCATTTTGTAGACACCACTATAAAAGTGCAACATGGATATCCCAGCACCTCACTGTACTAAAAGCTCACCAGCTGATATACTTACTTGCATGCATGGATATCCCAGCACCTCACTGTACTAAAAGCCCACCAAGTTGATATACTTACTTGGATGCTTCCCTCTTCCATCTTGAACACATACCAAAATCCATTGTTTACAGCCAAACCCTCAGATATAATCACATCTGCTTGAACCCACGAGATAGAGACTCAAAACTCAAGGATCCACAAAGTGCATTCCTCAGATTACAATACCACCCAATATGATTAAGGAACAAATCAACAAAGCAAGACAGATCCCCAGGAGCAACCTATTGCAGGACAGACCCAGAAGATAAAAATGACAGAATCTCACTAGTTGTCACTTTCAGTCCACAACTGAGACCATTCACATGCATTTTAAGTGATCTCTAGCCCATCTTGGACAATAACACTTCATTCTCCCCAGCTCTTGGTGGGAGACCCATTCTTGCCTACAGAAAACCCCCAACCTCAAGAAGGGAATAGTAAACCATTTCCGAATACTGTTTACCTAGGAAATCCTGAGAAGGATTGTAAATCAGAATTGATTTGATGGTGCACAATTATTGCTAAAACAGATGAGACAGGGTTTGGAGACCTTTATACATTGAGTCTTCCCTGTCCTGTGGAATTGCCTCCTGAGAGATACACAGCTGTCCTGTCTGATTATGTCTGATCCTGAAAGGGTTTTTGAAAAATGTCCTGGATGTGTGTGGTGCTGAATTGAAAAACAAACAAAAAATGAGATTGGCAAGATTCAAAGATATAATGAAGGGGGAAAAGGATAATGGAAAACTGGCAGAATCAGCTGTCTGATTCCTTGTGTGCAAGTTGGTTGGTGTTTTCATCACACAACTAGAAACAAGCACAGCCCACACACTTCACATCAGGATTCATGTTGTGCTACACTTTCACAAATTGCTCTTCATCTTGTAGGGCATCCATTGCATGATATACAAGAAACCTACAGAAAAAGATGGTGGCAGCCTTACATGCATCTCTGTGTTCAGAGGAACCAACTCAGCCATCCATCTTTCTCATGAGCAGCTCTTCTAATGGGCC